TAGCTGATTCATTTCCATGATTACTCACTGGCTAATTGTGCTCACCTGTGTCTTGTTTGGTTCCTATTTAGCCATTTACAGTGCCTAGGGCCTTACTTTGGTTCTTCCCTCTGTCCTGTATTTACTTGTGGTCTAATATTATGTTAATTCTTGTCTTCTGGGTTGCTTTTTTAATTTGTAAGTAAGGTAAATCTGCTGTAATTGACATTCAGTACTCCTCTACCCCTGCTTCCTAGGTGACTTTTAAGTCTAAGTTTACTCAGATGGATGGAGGAATGCACTGATCGTACTTTAGGTTTAATCACTATTTTGATATTACTTTTATTTAGGGTGCTGCTTTAATTTGTAGCAGTAAATAACTGTAATACAGTAATATATTAATATATAAAGTGTGCAAAATGAGAAGCTGTTTAAAAATGTGCGCATACGAATGACAGCACACTTGAATAGTGTCCATACACAGTATAATATTCCCTTAATGAATAATGTGCTTGGGCTCTCTATATTTTTTATTTTTCTAAAAAAAAATACACAGAGAATAGTTATTTTGCATTTCTAGGCCTAGGGCCATACTTTGGTTCTTCCCTCTGTCCTGTATTTACTTGTGTGAGAATATTTTATCTGATTGGATAAATGGATGGATGGATGGATGGATGAATAGATAGATAGATAGATAGATAGATAGATAGATAGATAGATAGATAGATAGATAGATAGATAGATAGATAGATAGATAGATAGATAGATGATAGATGGATGGATGGATGGATGGATGGATGGATGGATGGATGGATGGATGGATGGATGGATGACTAGATAGATAGATAGATAGATGGATGAATAGATAGATAGATGGATGGATGGATGGATGGATGGATGGATGGATGGATGGATGGATGGATGGATGGATGGATGGATGGATGGATGGATGGATGGATGGATGGATGGATTGATGCATGGATGGATGGATGCATGGATGGATGGATGGATGGATGGATGGATGGATGGATGGATGGATGGATGGATGGATGGATGGATTGATGCATGGATGGATGGATGGATGGATGGATGGATGGATGGATGGATGGATGGATGCTGTGATCGTACTTTAGGTTTAATCACTATTTGATATTGCATTTATTAAGGCTGCTGTTTTTCACCTTGTAGCAGTAAATAACTGTAGTACAGTAATATATTAAAATGTGCAAAACGAGAAGCCGTTTTAAATTGTGCAAATCGATATTTTCACCTCACATTTGCGCATATGAATGACAGCAGACTTGAATTATTGTCCATACAAAGTGTAATAATCAGCATATTGCAGTGTGGTTCCCCCCATTAAAAATGTACCAGGTTCTTCTGATGAACCTTTATTACTTATTTATTGAAAAAAAAAACACCAGGAATATTTAATTTGTCTTTCTCAGCATCAGAGCTCTGCTCAAACTGAGTGAAATGTCAATTTAAAAGAGCACTCCATGCAAAAAAACTAAATATTAGGGTTTAGGTGTTCAGGGTTAATCACTATTTGATATTACTTTTATATTGGCTGCTGTTTTTAAAATTGTAGCAGTAAATAACTGTAATTCTGTAATATATTAAAGTGTGCAAAATGTCTGACAGTGTTCATTTCTTTTAGCTAATTTGTTTTAATGGTTACTCATTGGCTGATTATGTTCACCTGTGCCTTGTTTGGTTTCTATTTAACCATTTACTGTGCTTAAGACCTTAGTTTGGTTCTTCCCTTTGTCCTGTATTTACTTGTGGTATAATATTATGTGGATTCTTGTCGTCTGGGTTGCTTTTTTATTTGTATGTAAGGTAAATCAGCTGTTATTAAGATTATACTCCTCTATCCCTGCTTTCAAGGTGACATCAATTTTTAGTCAAGGTTTACTCAGATGCATGGATGCTGTGATCATAATTTAGGGTTAATCACCAATTGATATTACTTTTATATAGGGTGCTGCTTTAATTGGTAGCAGTAAATAACTGTAATACTGTAATATATTAAAATGTGCAAAATGAGAAGCTGTTTAAAAATGTGGCAATCAATATTTTCGCATGGGAATGACACCACACTTAAATAATGTCCATACGCAGTGTAATAAGTAGTATGTTGTGCTGTGTTTCCTCCATAAATAATGTGCTTGGTCTCTCTGATGGACCTATGTTATTTATGTATCTAAAAAAATACAACAAGAATATTTAATTTTGCATTTCTCGTGATCAAAGCTCTGCTCAAACTGAGTGAAACGTCAATTTAAAAGAGCACTTCATGCTAAAAAGGGGGTTAGGTGCTCAGGGTTAATCAGTATTTGATATTAGTTTTATATAGGCTGCTGTATTTTAATTGGTAGCAGTAAATATCTGTAATCCTGTAATTTATTAAAGTGTGGAAAATGAGAAGCTGTTTTAAAAACGTGCAGATCAATATGTTGCAATTGCACATACGAATGACAGCAGACTTGAATAATGTCCATACGCAGTGTAATAAGCAGTATATTGCACTGAATAATGTGCTTGGGCTCTCTGATGGATCTATATGGTTATGTTGCATGCATGATTTTATCCTATTGAATTGGGTTTTGGTGATTTAGTATTTTCCTGATCCCGCTGGGGATAAATCAGAGGCTGCAGGATACGTTGAAGCTACTGGGAGAAAATGAATCAATTTCAGTCGACACTTTACATTGCTTTTGAAGTACATATGGAATGGTGACCTTTTGATTTGCTTTCTCTCTCTCTCTCGCTTGGTATAATGGAGGGGCTGGACGCTGTATTATTTATCTGCAGATGGATTGACTGAAGTTGTTTCACAACTGTGGAGACTGAACTCAGCAGCAGCAACAACACAGGTCTGAATGTCGGCTGTGATCGTACATGTCGAATGATGAGAGAGAGAGAGACAGTGGGGAGGGGGAGAGAGAGAAAGACAGAGGAGGGGAAGGAAAGATGGAAGGATGGATGAATGCTGTGGAATATTAGGAGAGAGAGCGAAGGAAAGATGAATGAATGGATGGCTGGTTAAATGGATGCTGTGGTCATATTTGTTGAACATTGAGATGGATGGATGGATGGATAGATAGATAAATAAATAAATAAATGGATGGATGGATGGATGGATGGATGGATGGATGGATGGATGGACGAATAGATGGACGGATGGATGGATGGATGGATGGATGGATGAACAAATAGATGGATGGATGATAAATGGATGGATAGATGGATGGATGGATGGATGGATGGATGGATGGATGGATGGATAGATGGATGGATGGATGAATAAATGAGTGGATGGGTAGTTGGATAAATGGATGGATGTATGGATGGATGGTTTGATGGATGAATGGATGCTGTGATTATACTTGTTGATTGTTGAGACAAACAGACTGGATGGATGGATGGATGGATGGATGGATGGATGGATGGATGGATGGATGGTTTGATGGATGGATAGATGGATGGATGGATAGATGGATGGATGGATGGATGGATGGATGGATAGGTGGATGGATGGATGGATGGATGGATGGATGGATAGATGGATGGATGGATAGGTGGATGGATGGATGGATGGATGGATGGATGGATGGATGGATGGATGGATAGATGGATGGAAAATGAGTGGATGGATAGTTGGATAATTGGGTGGATGGATATATAAAAGGATTTTTGGATTGATAGTCTGATGGATGGATGGATGGATAGAAGGATGGATGGATGGATGGATGGATTGATGGATGGATGAATGAATGAATGGATGGATGGATGGATGGATGGATGGATGGATGGATGGATGGATAAATGGATGTATGGATGGATGCTGTGATCATAGTTGTCCAATGTTACTCCTTATACGTTTATTTGTGTAAAATCTCCTCGAGTACTTGTTCTTCTACTTGAGTATGGATTTTGGATACTCCGCCCACCTCCGTCTGCTGCTTCCTTCAGCACGCATCCCACAAGATCTGAAACTGCGCTAGCACAATGTGTTTAATCTAATACCTCATTTGCATAATTACTTTAGTCAATCGGATGCCAAAACAACACACACACAATGTACACAAATAACAGTAACAGCAGGTGCAGATCAGTTCTGACATAAACTAAATTACCTTTCATTTGCATGCAGAATGCTTTGCATTTATCTAATGTGTGTCAAATGAACTCATTGAGTCTGTGTAAATTGTGTAAAATTGCACTTATGGTTGTTTGGAGTATCTGTAGCACATGCATTTAAAAATCTAGAATGGCCCATGGCATGTTGAAAAGCATTGCATACTACGATGCATATATATTGCATTTTTCTGCTCAGTGAATCTCTCATCATTACGACATATTTACACTAACCGGCCACTTTATTAGGTACACCTGTCCAACTGCTCGTTAACGCAAATTTCTAATCAGCCAATCACATTGCAGCAACTCAATGCATTTAGGGATGTAGGCATGGTCAAGACATTCTGCTGCAGTTCAAGCCGAGCATCAGAATGGGGAAGAAAGGTGATTGAAGTGACTTTTAACATGACATGGTTGTTGGCGTCAGTTGTGCTGATCTGATTGTTTCAGAAACTGCTGATCTACTGGGATTTTCACGCACAACCATCTCTACGGTCTACAGATAATGGCCTGAAACAGTGGAAATATCCAGTGAGTGGCAGTTCTGTGGGCGCAAATGTCTTGTTGATGCCAGAGGTCAGAGGAGAATGTCCAGACAGCACTCGTTACAACCGAGGTCTGCAGAAGAGCTTCTCTGAACACACAACACGTCCAACCTTGAGGCGGATGGACTACAGCAGCAGAAGACCACACCGGGTGCCGCTCCTGACTTGAACTTGAACTAAGGCAGTTCTAAAGGCAAAAGGGGGTCCAACCCAGTACTAGTGAGGTGTACCTAATAAAGTGGCCGGTAAGTGTAATTATGAAACTGACATATGCAGTTAGTCTGATGTTCAGTTATTGATCAATGCACTAGATTATTGAATAAGATCTACCTTGTATTGATAGCGATTAGATTTGTTCCCGTGAAGGATCTTGAATGGATTTGGATGGAACTCTTCGTCTTGATCTTCTGTAAATCTGGACGTTATAATGACTGGTCTAATAACTCCAGGTTTTGTCTAGGAAAAACAAGAAAAATCTTTATAATTCCCAACATAATTCACACTTCAACACTCTAGAAATGCTGGGTTGTGGACAAACCCGACCATGGGGATATTTTTCATATTAAAAGGGACTTATTATGCACTTTTATAAAGAGTTTAAACATAGTAGTGTGGCAAGACTCTATGAATAAAACCACACTTTAATAGTAGCAATGTATTAATTGTGTTTGTTTATAATCACACTTCATAAAAACAGTCTGCAGAAACACTTTGATTGACATTCTCCCTTTGTACGTGTCATCAGAGGGGGAAAGCCCCGCCCACTAGTGACCATCTCTCCCTCATTAGCATAGGAGTTAGTCTTGTTTTTGAATCTGCCACTATGCTGACACACAGGTATTTGTAGCTCCGCCCACTTTTTAAAAGAGCACAATCTCATTTGAATTTAAAGCGACAGTCACCAAAACGCCACACTATTAGGATCAAAGCTTAAAAGGGGCATCTTCACAGAGTTAAAAAGCATTTGTGTTACTTTGAGCTGAAAAGAAGACAATTTGCATGCATTAACCATGCTTTCTATGTTTATAAAATAACTTGCATAAATTTAAACCAAACTCAACTTTGAAACATTTTGCACCTTAGAATTATAACGTTCTGTCTGAAATTATTGTCAAAATTGAGTTATTGGCTTATTCTTATAATACAAAAACTTATTTACATAATGGTATGTTTTTATGAGTTGCTTACATTTTAAGACTTTTTATTAAAAAAATGTTACACACTGTTTTCTATGGAATGCAAAAACTTTGAAGCTCAATATTTCAGAATAATCCAGAACGCAGATAGAACCTTAAAATTCTAAGGTGACGATATATCTACTTTTTTATATCAGTAATGTGCATATAAATTAAATGTTGTAGCAGGGAATATATTTCAGTTGCATGAAATGTGGCTTTAAAACAAATAAGGCCAGATCCCTTGAGATAAATGCCAGAATTCAAAGCATCCTTCATTTGTAACAGTTGCATTTTACCTGAAATTCCAGCCTGATTTCACAAGGAAACGTACATATTTTACAGTTTGTCAGTTTAGTGACTATTTCATGAGTACAATTTTTAAAAGAAGGCATGCCACCAAACCCCGCCTCTAAACCCAACCGTCATTGGGTGATGAGCAAATCATACTAATTTGTTCGAATTAGATCGTACAAATTCATACGAATTTGCCACTAAATCAAAAAGTTACGAATTGCCGTGAGATTGCGTTGGAAATTCATGCACCAAATTTCATTCATTCATTCATTCATTTTTTTTCAGCTTTGTTTATTTATTAATCTGGGGTCGCCACAGCAGTATGAACCACCAACTTATCCAGCACATGTTTTACGCAGTGGATGCCCTTTCAGCTTCAAATGTCCACTTTTAAACTCTTTGTCAAACCTCCTGCAAAACACTTCACGATTCTCCACATTAGGCACAATATTCCAAATGTGAAGCTCTTTCTCTTTAGAGAGCAGTTTAAAAACAAAGCCCAGAGTCTTACACACAATCTGGCAACACCCCTCCGTTCAAAGCAGAGATTTAGCACTATAGCAACATTCCCAAATGCTCATGCGCATTTGCTGAATTATTATCCCACAATCCCAAAGCCACAAACACATTTAGCATCAAAACGACACATAAACAAAGTCTTTAAACAAACAAAGCAATCATGAGGAGAATAAAAAGTCTCATTCCTACTAAAGTCGGTCCAAAAGGTTTTTCAGAAAGATTTGAGGCCGATTAATGAAATGTGTTTAAACAAAACTGTTATTAGAGCTGTTTGCTCTGATTTTAATTTAACAGTTTTATGTACATTACGCACTGTAATTAGACGGTTTGTGTACTAAATTACTTATAACACAGACATTTTCTGTTTCATTGTAAGTTCATCAGTTTTCATTATGCTCTCTTTTCTATTTGCATTAGTGTTTTGCAAGTTCTTTCAGTTTTATCATGACAAATTGCTGCCACAGAATTCATACAGCCATTCAAAACATGATTTATACAGGGGAAGCAATCTTAGAAGTGCATACTTAAGGCTTTAACCAGCTAAACTCTGCTGTTATTTTAGAATTTCCGCCTGGATTTTCCCTACCCAAATTTAAAAGCTTCCCAAATCCACATGCAGAGGTGTAAATGCAAAAATTTTGTATCATTTTAAAGAAAACCCTTTTAATTTTCCATAAAACACATTTGAAAGTGTTTAAAATATCTGTGTATGTTGTCTATGTTATAATAAACACCTAAAACAGAGGCGCTTTTTGTATTTTTTTTATAAACTCAAATTTGAAAGTGTACCTTTTAGGTTCTGTGTGGTCTAGAGTGCTGTAATTCATTTTGGTGGTTCCTGCATATGTTTGTAATCATAGGAAAAAACGAAAAATGTCTCCACCATAATCTGTGCAAAAGTTATTGTATTCCCACTGATGAGAGGTGCTGTACAAGCCACAGGGAGCGATCATTGCTTTCATATTTCACTATTCTTTTGTTTGATCAAACATAATTCACTGTGTTTGGAGCACGTCAGACATATAAAAGGATTACTTATGCACATCACCTCAAAAACAGAGGAGAATGGCCCTGAAGCGCACAGTATAAGGTAAGAGATGACAGCTGTCTGTGCTATCTGGGGCTGCTTAGTGATCATAAATGTATTGTTTTCACTTCTGCGCCATGGAAGCACAGTGATTCATCTGGTAACTGTTTGATATGTGAATATAATTCAGTAAAAAAGAACGCTAGAACCGTATGAGCACCGGCAAGAGCTTTCATTTGAGCTATAACTTGTACATGTGTCATATGAAAAATATGAAAATGAACCAATGTAAAATACCCAGCTCGGGTATCCAAAATACTGTGTATTTAAGTGTAAATAACTTTTGTACAGTAGAATAAAAACCAAAGTGATGCATATGAGCATAAAATATAGATTCTACACTTTCAAACGAAACCACTTAAGGGGGTCTGGTGCAACGCTAGCCCTTTAAATCTTAAAGCGAAGTTGATGACGTCACAGACCCGTTATACCAGGTCCGCAGAGTTTAACATGATTTATACAGGGGAAGCAACCTTAGAAGTGCATACTTAAGGCTTTAAAATGTAGCCTACAGAGCTGAGTCATTGAGAATAAAAGCCAACATTATTGCTAACGTTCCTTTACAAAAGTCTTCAGTCCATATCTAATGAACAAAGTACTGCAGCACAAACTGAGGTGAACATGTTCAATACTAATACAAAAAAATAAATAAATAAAACAATCAATCCATTAAAAAAACACTTACCATAGTTTTTTCAGTAGTTACAGAGGGTTGAAATGGAGAGCTGGCCTAAAACCAAAGAAAATTAAGAGTTAGTATTGAAATATTTCTTTATATCATATATTCAATATTTATACATTGACGTCAAAATTATTAGCCCTCCTTTGATGTTGATTTTTTTTTATATATATTTTCTAATTTAAGTTTAACAGAGCAAGGAAATTTTCACAGTATGTCTGATAATATTTTTTCTTCTGGAGAAAGTCTTATTTGTTTTATTTTGGCTAGAATAAAAGCAGGTTTTAATTTTTTTAAAGACCATTTAAGGGACAATATTATTATCCCATTTAAGCTATATATATATTTTTTGATAGTCTACAGAACAAACCATCGTTATACAATAACTTGCCTAATTACCCTAACCTGCCTACTAGTTAACCTAATTAACCTAGTTAACCCTTTAAATGTCACTTTAAGCTGTGTAGAAGTGTCTTGAAGAATATCTAGTCAAATATTATTTACTGTCATCATGACAAAGAGAAAATAAACCAGTTATTAGAGATGAGTTATTAAAACTATTATGATCAGAAATGTGTTGAAGAAATCTGTTCTTCATTAAACAGAAATAGGGGAAAAATAATTCAGGGGGGGCTAATAATTCTGAATTCAACTCTATATGTATGAATTTAGAGAGTTATGCTGATCAATTTAAATTTTTTTTTTCTCCTACTACCAACCCAAGCTGATTATTGATATGTACTCCATTTCTGTGTACTCCATTTCTGGAAATCACAAAGTATATCAAAGGAGGTAAATATTTTTGCAGTTTTTGTTTTTGTGAATCCAATAGAGGCCGCTGTGTATGCTTTAAACATCTCAAATTTCTCTTGCATGTGGCATTTGCGGCTGCTGTTCCCATGTAAATCCACCAGAGGCTGCAGTCAACTGGTTGACTGACTGGCCAACATATGCTGGAATAGTTGGCGGTTCATTTCACAGTGGCAACCCTTGATAAACTCAGGGAATAAACCGATTGAAAATGAATGAATGTGAACATTGTTTATTATTGATTTGATATTCACTACAAAATAAAAATCCTGTTCTTAAACTTTTTTAGCTTGCTTCCAGTTCAAATATCTAAAATGTATTAAATCAATAAGTATTTTCTACTGCATGTAAGCATATTTTTTTGTTTTAGAAATAAAAATTAAGTGAATTTTTGCTTGAAACAAGCAAAATAATAGCAAGATCATTTTTCTTGCCCCAAAGGCAGATTATTTGCTTGTTTAAAGGAAAGACTCAGTTAATTTTGACTTATTATTTCTGAAAACAAGACAATATGTCTGCTTGTCTAGAAAACGATTATTGATTAAAGCATTTTCATATATTTAGACTATAAACAGACAAAAACTAATGCTAAGAAAAGCAGTTTTTGCATTTTTGATCCTCCGTTAATCTGAAGAAAACTTAAAACATATTGAGAAACAAATTTGTAAAGGTGCTTCCAAAATATCCCTATAATTAAACGATCATCACGGTCAGCTCTAAACTCTTTGTTTGTAATCATTTCTTGGTGATTTTCAGCTATATC